GCAGTAGGCTGCACAGTTACTCCATCTGTGTAAGTCGATGGCCTACATCCAAAGAGAAATGGTCATATGGAATTCCAATCTTCAATTACCCGCAGGTTCCATAGACTTTTCACAAAACTATTACACATGGATCATACAACGACGTCGTAGGAGACCAGGGCCCCGTTCCTCAAAGCGATCGTAGCGCTACGACAGTCGTAACTCCCATACTTTAACATAGACTTACGACTGTCGTAGCGCTACGATCGCTTTGAGGAACGGGGCCCAGGCCGTGAATTTGATTTGTTGCATACTGACCTCGCAGAAAACCACAGCGAAACAACACGTGAAAAACGTGCAGCTCCTGGCATCAGGGACAACAACTAATGTGTTCTGTACATGAAAGGAAAAATGCCAGCACATTTCCAAATTATCGAATCTCTTCTTTTTATCTCTGGCTGTGTTACACAGAAGCTACGACTGCACGGTGAGACTTATCAGTGTGGTCGTCGAATCAAAGCCAGTGATTGCTGATGGCGCGCAACGTCCAGTCGAGGCTTTTTCAAAGAATACGATGCCAACCCTCGGGTTTCCGTTTGTAGTGGTGCATCCCTTTGTGAATCTGCTGGTGCATCTGGTCACCATCACACACAACAGTGTTGCTCCAAAGATGGTTGAATCAGCAGGTGTATGTTTTGGCCGACATCAGCTACTCGTTACAGGTCAATGTTGCTCCAAAGATGGTTTAATCTCCAGGTGTATATTGTGGTCAACATGCGATACTCGTTACAGGTCAATGTTGCTCCAAAGATAGTTGAATCTCCAGGTGTATATTGTGGCCAACATGCGCTACTCGTTACAGGTCAATGTTGCTCCAAAGATGGTTGAATCTGCATTTGTATATTGTGGCCAACATGCGATACTCGTGACAGATCAATGTCGCTCCAAAGATGGTTGCATCAGCAGGTGTATATATCTTGCAACTCGCATGCGCTACTTGCTGACTCGTTCTCCGATGATAGGCCCAGCAGAGAAACAGCTTGGGGATTATGTTATATTAACTCAAGCAAGCCCAAAACAGATTATGTGAATTTCGATTACGGACTAATAAAGTTGCTTAGAAGAATGTAGTCAATCGGTAAAGAAGCAAAAAATCACGCAAAAAGAAGAAAGTAGCGACGTTCAATTGAATAATATGAAGTTAGAGCAAACCAATTTACTTTCCCTTAGTAGTCGAAAAACTGTTCTTGTTTCAAACAAGCTTTCCATCCAGTTTTTACCCTGTAGCGTAATAGACGACAAGCGAGAGTATCTTCGGGGGACAAGGATTGACCTTCCTGCCAGCTCTGCAAGGAAACGCGGCCCCCACAGAAGGCGGGGACAGTAATTGGGAGTACGAAAAGAAAACATCTGAGTATTTTTTTAGATGTTGAGTCTGGGCTTCCCTAAATGGTAACTTGAGCCGTAAATTCACCAAGGCTGATTTAGTTAGTGTGAAGGTCAATGTAAACAGGGTTATAATTTGTGCAAACGGCAGACCCAGCATAGCCAAAGAGACATTTGATAGTACTATTAGTTCAGCTGGGATTAAATTACAAATGCATTTATGTCTCATTGTCCAATATTGGGAGCTGCTAATTTCTATCTTGCAGATGCCTAGATATGGACTGTTATTAAAATGAATAAACGTTTCATTATGAACTTTTTCTCTGTTGTATTAAAAGGGCATGGCGTTTTTAAACTATTAGTTGATCTATTTATCAATTATTATCCTTACACATCCTAACGTCAGCTAGCACCATCATTAGTTTCGTCGTCGTCGTCATCACCATCATCATCATCATTATCATCTTCTTCATCATCATCGTCGTCGTCGTCGTCGTCGTCATCATCATCATCATCATCATCTTCTTCTTCTTCTTCATCATCATCATCATCATCATCTTCTTCTTCGTCGTCGTCGTCATCGTCATCATCATCATCATCATCATCATCTTCTTCTTCTTCTTCTTCATCATCATCATCATCATCATCATCCTCTTCTTCTTCTTCTTCATCATCATCGTCGTCGTCGTCGTCGTCATCATCATCGTTGTCGTCATCATCATCATCGTTGTCGTTGTCGTCATCATCATCATATTATCATTATTATTATTATCATCACCATCGTTGCGTCATCATCATCATCATCATCTCTGTCGTCACGTTTGTTGTCTTATGCATAGCCTTTATCATTACACACTTACTACTTATGAATTCCGCGCCGGGAATATGCGGACTTATGGGTATGGAGTATACTGCAACCAAGTTGTGGTTTACATAAGGAAGTGTTAGCTCCTGGTGCAGTAGCGTGGACGCAACTAAATACCTTCTGACATAAACTCGAATCAATCAATAGGTACTTTTCCACTTTAGATTGATGTTGATTACAAAGTGGGTCTTGGGGGCATAACGTGATATCCCCACTCCACTGCTGTGTAAAGGTTCAATTTAAAGGGAATGGATAGGCAAGACAGGGGAAGCTCCATTCAGCGGTGTATCGAGTGCTTTGTGCTTTAAAACGCACGGTCATCAGCATTGGGTAGGAAGTGATGCCAGACTATCTGAGTTCTATCAACAAACATTTTAGTAGATGGGCTTACACATACGATACGAATAACTTGGTGTAAATCACTTTAGTGACCAGCCTTTGTGCTTAAAACATTTCCTATGCCAGATTCATATGACGACGTAAAACAAACGTGGCCTTCATCCTGCTAAGTGAGTGAGTGAGTGAGTTTGGTTTTGAGCCGCTTTTTAGCAATATTCCAGCAATATCACGGCGGGGGACACCAGAAATGGGCTTCACACATTGTACCCATGTGTGGAAACGAACCCGGTTCTTCGGTGTGACGAGCGAACGCTTTAACCACTAGGCTACCCCTCCGCGCCTCATCTTACTAAGGATGTTGTTTTATAATACTGTTTTATCGAAAGCCTATTGGTGCACGTAATATCTCCTCTCCAGTTGGCTGATACTAATACCACAGGTAATGACGTGCCATCTAGACTATCCCGGGAATCGAACCTCCGCCCCTAACGGACTAAGAAAGCACAACATTATTCAGAATAGGTCGACAACTGGTTCATGACCGAACGTGTAAAGTACAACGTTATTGAGGATTGGTTTATGTCTGGTTCACATCCGAATATGGAAAACACAACACTATTCGGGATAGGTTTGCGCCTAGTTCAAATCCGAATGTGGACGAAACGATACCATTCAGGGTTATCATGCTCTAATGTCATCTGAGACCTTAATTCCAATAACACTCCAAACGGAGTCATCCAGAAACAGAGGATACCATGTTATTGATACATCCACAGGTTTTATTTTAAAATAAATTGTCCTTTTGTGTGAGTGAGTGAGTTTAGTTTTACGCCGCACTCAGCAATATTCCAGTTATATGGCGGCGGTCTGTAAATAATCGAGTCTGGACCAGACAATCCAGTGATCAATGGCATGAACATCGATCTGCGCAATTGGGCACCGATGATATGTGTCAACCAAGTCAGCGAAACTGACCACCCGATTCCGTTAGTCGCCTCTTACGACAAGCATAGTCGCCTTTTATGGCAAGCACATGGGTTGCTGAAGACCTATTCTACCCCCTGATCTTCACGGGTCTGTCCTTTGGTAAATAAGTAGGGTACGTTACCATAAGTATGATTTCATGTCACATTTAAGTTTGGCAGGGTATGTTTAATCAAGGCCTCTTAAGCCCAGATAAATATAGACGGTGATCACAGCCTCACTAAGACGTTTACAATGTCTTCTTGTTGCTGCAATGGTTTGATACATAGGGGTAAAGGGAGACAACCATCCGTCACACCTGACACGGTCAGTGCCATTATCCCCGTGTCGCAGACACCTACATCTACACGTGACTGTGATGTATGGCTCGCTTCTAGACGGGTGGAGGAGACATGCTGGCATCTTCTCAACTTGCAACTGCGAAAGGTTATCTCTTAAGACTACGACCTTTCATCATCAGTGCTGGTATTAATAGCGACAGCTGAGACGAGTTTTCACTGGGAGCTTGCAATAGCGGAATTAGTGGTTTCACTGTTGACGTCACTTGATTAAACCTAACGAGTGAGTGAGTGTGGTTTTATGCCGCTTTTAGAAATATTCCAGCAATATCAACGTCGGTGGACACCAGAAATGGGCTTCACGCATTGTGCCTATGTGGGGAATCGAACCCGGGTCTTCGGCCGACGACCGGACGCTTTAACCACTGGGCTACCCCATCGCCTCTCAAGCCTAACAAACAATATCACACCAAATCCACCCACCGAAAGAAACACACCTTTCCCCTTTCATCAATTTATCTTCAATTAAAACAGTGGCCACTGAACTGTGGGGTGTTCACTAATGCTAACCACACACCACACGTTCACATCATCTCATTCGGAGTACAGGGGAACATTATCCTGTATATTCAGTGTTAAGCGCTGCCCTTACACCCTTGTTTGACTATAGTATTGTAGGCACTGGAACCTCCACCCGAAACGGTATAGAATCGGTTGTATTTATCCTAACACCAGCCAGTACGCTGGTCAACTTCTACCCCTTACCACACTGTTTGAGTAACGTTTCCAGCAGACTAGCCACCCTGCGTTCCACGGGTATACCTGCAGTATGCTGGTCAAATTCTACCCCTTACTACACCGTATGAGTAACGTCTCCAGCAGACTAACCCCCACCCCACCCCCAGCGTTCCACGGGTATACCTAACCCTGCAGAATGCTGGTAAACTCCTACCCCTAACCCTGCAGTACTACACTGTATGAGTAACGTCTCCAGCAGACTAACCTACCCCCACCCCACCCCATCCCACTCCACCCCCAGCGTTCCACGGGTATACCTAACCCTGCAGTAAGCTGGTCAACTCCTACCCCTTACTACACTGTATGAGTAACGTCTCCAGCAGACTAACAGCTGTATCCCCAACACGGCGGCGCTCAAGGCGTGCACGAGAATGGTAATGATGAACCGCAGTATGTCCGCCAGTTCGACAGCCTCTGTCAGGTATGTTTGTCTCGTTAACCCTGCCCATGGATGTCGTTGGGAGGCTAATGATTCTCCAATTTAGGCAAACTGTATCGAAGTGAGGTCTCGTTCCTCCCAGACGGACTCATCGATTTGTGTATTCATATGTGAGGTGCAACTATACGTAGGAATGGTTTTTCATTTAAATATTTCACAGTAACGATCACGTGCGATCCCCGGGGAAGACACACTATAACTATGACTTAAAACAACTGACTTCAGCTTCTTGTTCAGATCAATTTCAGGGAAAATACGCCTGAGATAACGCTTGAAAACTTACACAATCTTCATCTTAAAATAGAAGAAACAAAGTGTAGGTGCCCTTTACTGCTACGGAGTGGTAAGTAATATACAACGGTAAGAGTTCCAACTTGCGCACGTGTCATACGTGTCGCACGTGTTATAACTGGGGTAAGGTGCAACCTTCTACTCTTTTAAAACATTCTGGCGGTGTGCATCTGACAATAAATCTGTGTTGACAATCAACCAGTGAATGATAGATGGAGCAAGGGTAAACATGGATTATTCTCTCCGGAAAATGAATTGACATACAATCTCGAGTTCATCTGTTCAGATGACCTAGATGTTGGAAGCAACATCTAGGTATCAACAAGGTAGAATTTATCATGCACACGTAAACCGTAACGGAACCATTCTAACTTTAAACTTTCAAAATCATGGCACCTCGCGTCACCTGCACTGTTCTTGTAACATTGCAACTAACGTTTGTCCTCACCTGCTCCAAGGTCTGTATTGCACTGCCCAATACAACCGTGTGATACCACAGCCATTATTCATAACCGATATGTTATTCATCGGGCGACTATACCAGCCCACAGCAGAGTTATGGCAAAAGGTAGTGATCCTATCTAGGTATGATGTGATATGCTTTAAGTTGTACTGCAGGTATCTCGATAAAATATTTTATTCATTTGAAAAGCCATGGGTTATATGTACATATACAACACATAAAACCTTGGGTATGGCGAATACTGTATTAATGTATGAACCATACTGAGTCTAGCCATACTTTATACCAGCCATACCGTGCGATCTGAGACCTAAACATATTCTTCCATACATGACGCATATATAATATGTCATGTATTATGAAAAGTTATTGATATTGCTATTTGATAGAAGTTCACATTGATTGAGGAATGCCTGAAGCAGATTATCTTGCTATACTTTGCCGTCCTGGCGCGACCAGAATGCCTTGGAAGCAGCAGACAGGATGTGACGGGTCCAGATACAGTAAGCAGCACTTGGAAGCAGCAGTCAGGATGTGACGGGTCCAGATACAGTAAGCAGCACTTGGAAGCAGACTACCAGATGTCCAACTCAGCGGTGGCTGAGCGGGTAGACGGCTGGCATTGTTTGCTGGCGATTAGGTGCCTGACTCTGATGGTGTTGGTTCGAATCCCGGATGGAATGAAACCCGACAAAAGTACTAGAATCTGTACTTTACTGAGACATTGTAATCCCAAACATAATATATGTAACATTTGACCACTTTCTAAATGGCATTGTGTATTCATATTGGAAGCAGTTGTCAGGGTGTGATGGTCCAGATACAGTAAGCCGCACTTGGAAGCAGCAGATGGGCCCAGATACAGGAAGCCGCACTGTTGGAAGCCGCAGATGGGTCCAGATACTGTAAGCCGCACTTGGAAGCAGCAGATGGGCCCAGATACAGGAAGGAGCACTTGGAAGCAGCAGATGGGCCCAGATACTGTAAGCCGCACTTGGAAGCAGCAGATGGGCCCAGATACTGTAAGCCGCACTTGGAAGCAGCAGATGTGCCCAGATACAGGAAGGAGCAATTGGAAGCAGCAGATGGGTCCAGATACAGGAAAGAGCACTTGGAAGCAGCAGATGGGTCCAGATACAGTAAGCCGCACTTGGAAGCAGCAGATGGGCCCAGATACAGGAAGGAGCACTTGGAAGCAGCAGATGGGCCCAGATACAGGAAGGAGCACTTGGAAGCAGCAGATGGGCCCAGATACTGTAAGCCGCACTTGGAAGCAGCAGATGTGCCCAGATACAGGAAGGAGCAATTGGAAGCAGCAGATGGGTCCAGATACAGGAAGGAGCACTTGGAAGCAGCAGATGGGTCCAGATACAGTAAGCCGCACTTGGAAGCAGCAGATGGGTCCAGATACAGGAAGGAGCACTTGGAAGCAGCAGATGGGTCCAGATACAGGAAGGAGCACTTGGAAGCAGCAGATGGGCCCAGATACAGGAAGGAGCACTTGGAAGCAGCAGATGGGCCCAGATACTGTAAGCCGCACTTGGAAGCAGCAGATGGGCCCAGATACAGGAAAGAGCACTTGGAAGCAGCAGATACAGGAAAGAGCACTTGGAAGCAGCAGATGGGTCCAGGAAGGAGCACTTGGAAGCAGCAGATGGGTCCAGATACAGGAAAGAGCACTTGGAAGCAGCAGATGGGTCCAGATACAGTAAGCCAGCACTTTGGCAAGCAGCAGATGGGTCCAGATACAGGAAGCAGCAGATGGGTCCAGATACAGTAAGGAGCACTTGGAAGCAGCAGATGGGCCCAGATACTGTAAGCCGCACTTGGAAGCAGCAGATGGGCCCAGATACAGGAAAGAGCACTTGGAAGCAGCAGATGTGCCCAGATACAGGAAGGAGCAATTGGAAGCAGCAGATGGGTCCAGATACAGGAAAGAGCACTTGGAAGCAGCAGATGGGTCCAGATACAGTAAGCCGCACTTGGAAGCAGCAGATGGGTCCAGATACAGTAAGGAGCACTTGGAAGCAGCAGATGGGTCCAGATACAGTAAGCCGCACTTGGAAGCAGCAGATGGGTCCAGATACAGTAAGGAGCACTTGGAAGCCGCAGATGGGTCCAGATACTGTAAGCCGCACTTGGAAGCAGCAGATGGGTCCAGATACAGTAAGGAGCACTTGGAAGCAGCAGATGGGTCCAGATACAGCAAGGAGCACTTGGAAGCAGCACATGGGTCAAGATACAGTAAGGAGCACTTGGAAGCAGCAGATGGATCCAGGTACAGTAAGGGGCACTATGAAGCAGCAGATTGAAGTATTTGGAGGCAACAGATGGGTCCAGATACAGTAAGGAGCACTTGGAAGCAGCAGATGGATCAAGGTACAGTAAGGGGCACTATGAAGCAGCAGATGGAAACATTTGGAGGCAACAGATGGGTCAAGATACAGTAAGGAGCAATTGGAAGCAGCAGATGGATCCAGGTACAGTAAGGGGCACTATGAAGCAGCAGATGGAAGCATTTGGAGGCAACAGATGGGTCCAGATACAGTAAGCCGCACTTGAAGAGAGAAATGTAAGGTATATCGGGTGCAGATGAAGAGGAATGTACTTTAGTTTCTATATAACGGATAAAAAATTCTAGTAGTTTTTAGGGGTTGAGTCACATCAAGACTGAAGCAATTATGCTAACAAACTAGGTTCCTTACTCTGAAAATGAGGCTTTTTTTAATCCCTGACGGGAAAAGTGTAATCCCAGATACAACATTTGGTGGATTTGACCAGTTTCTTCACCATTGTGTTTTCACAGATAGTGAGGAGCAAGCAGTTGCAGTGATGATGATGTAACTGGTCCAGTTACGATGTGCACCTGGGATAATGTAGTGTTTTTTTCAGAAAGGACGTCTGAATAACGCTGGTTCTACAATCCTCCACATCATACCATCTGTCTTTCTAGCACAGGAAAATGTCTTGGGAGTTGAATATGATCACTTAAAGAGAAAAATACACACATGGATGCTACCACTGTTGGAGACAATAATCTTGATGAAATTAGTTATTAGTTGGCATTCGCATCATACATTTGTTTTATAGCGATTTCAGCGATTATTGTTTCAGGAGAGCTATTTGCAAACGTTTGTTTAATATCCAAGGATTTACATGTTTAATACTCATGGATACATTGAGGTCATTAAGTCGTCATTGGGTCGACAGCAATATAGCGTGACGCCTCATGGGTGGGTGGTGGTATTTTGGTTAAAATAAGGAATTTAAACTTTATTTCTCAGGCAAAATAATAACATACCAATATTTGCAGTTCAACAGATTGCCCTGGGCCAACCTTTCATGTTTCAAACAGCTGTTATTCAAAGTCATATGTTACACAAGCGAGCGGCTTTCGCAGTTGGAACTGACGGTGAGCACTATAAAGTGTATCGTTAAAAGCACTGTTATAAGACAAATGCATAAACTTCCTTTTCGTTTCATTTTGGTGACACCCCAGCATGATACTAATAACTCTATACGTCCAGGGGCTTTGACAGAGCGAAATCAGCAAAACGTGGGGCCCAAACAGTACTTCGCAGGGTGGTCAACTGTTGAGCACGTCTAGCTTACAGATGCGTTAAAAGTGTCCAGCAATCAATAATGATTCCACAATTTCACGTCTGCATAAAATGCCTATAATTTATAAATGCCCAATGCACTGTTAACAGTAAATGCCACTTGTAACGTGACATTTTATGATAAACATTGTGCTATTGTTATTATTTTGTTTGAATTTATATTTTTCCAGTATAGATTTAACTGACAAACTTACCTTGATTATTCTTTTGTAAACGAAAGGTGTCCGTTGGTGTTGTAACGCAAGCAAAATATATCCTCTTCTAAAATGAACTCCGTCTAAGAAAGTTTCACACACACTGCAACACAATTTTTTAAAACAACTGAAAAACTTTGTCAACTACTCCGAAACTAAAACGGGCATCGGTCCTACATACCATCCCAGTTGGCGCTATATCCACAAACAAACTATATATCGTGTTCCGTATCCAATTCCACTACTCTTTTTGCAATCACCCGTGTAAATGGCATGTCGCTATTCCCACTACAGGCAGCAGACGACACATTGAAACTAAATGACGTTACTACCTGGGCCTTCCACCTATCAAAGCCCAGTGCCGACAACCAATCACATTGTAGCTGCAGGTCACGTGGTAATGCAGAGCCAAAGGCTTCAAAGGTGTGTCCCACACAATCGCTATACACCATTTAATAAGGGTATTTCATTCCTCAAATATTAATTTGGACTACGATAAAACTGCCTAGAGAGACGAACGGTGGACCCATTTGCCCCTCTAGCGTGTGTGGAACAGAATGTTATTATGGAATGAGCCTGTCGCTCTGTCAGGGACAGTGTTGTGGTAAGAGAGCACTGGCGCCCGTGGAATTGCTGTTGTTCGACTCGTCTGCTGGCGTCCTTTGGTAGAATACAATTTTCTCATACTGATTGGACAGTCTTTTTTAGAGCAATATTGTTCTTTCTACCAATTATGCAGGGGTGATATATTCTTAACCACGACCATGTGGGGATATTTTGTAGCCTTCGCTCTATCTCACTGTCACCATCGATCGTGAACAGCTCACCTGTCACGTGATCTTCTTCCAACTGGGGACAGTTGTCGCAGACGACTTTACATCACAGAATTCGCCTTAAAATATCCGTTAATTTTTAAACATAATCTTAGCTCTTGACGAGTTCCTAATGTGTTCCTTTGTTCGTTGGCGTCGTCCTTAGAGATACGTGTGAGATAATTAGCCTGTGTTTGCTCAGCCAACAGTGATGCAATGTCACCGCTGTTTATGACTTGTCAGATGAGCCTATTAATAATGTATCATTAAATATAGATACTATCTATAGACACGGGAAAATCATTCAGAACGTTTGTGTCGACTGTACCAGCGTTTGTTCCCCATGAGAGGTATTATTGTTGTCATCAACTGCATCCAATTACCATCAATATTTCATCCAGAGTATAAAGCAGTTATTCTTACGTTGTTATGATCAATGGCATATTTAAAGTTGTTTAACAACGCCAGTGTGTTCCGCTTATGCTTCCCCGTGCATTGTGTCTCTGGGACAGCTTGTTTCAACGTGTTCGTTAGCAAAGATGCCACTGTTTCCACTACAGCCTGTCTGGAAATCCATAATAGTCGTTGAAAAGACATACTAAGCTCGCATATGAACGCAGCCCAATGGCAGATGGCAAAATCAATCTAATCATTCAGTAGTAAGGGGAAACTTATACAGCTCTTCTCCATGTCAATACACGAGTAAAGTACCGGTCTTATTAAATGGTCTCCCCTCAGTATCCGCATCTTTACCACGATTAAATGCTCGTCCGCCTCTTGATATACGAAATGCCGTTCGGTCTTGATATGAAATTCTCTTGATCTACGGAATTCCGTTTCGGGTGGTGTCCCGTCTGCATCTTGGTCTCGAGTCACATTTGTGTATCGATGCGCATACGAGATTATACGTCATTCGGTCTTGTCGATGCTCGTCCTCGTATATACGATGTTTATTTTCGGTCTGAAACTCTGATGAATGAATGATCCCCGTCCAGTGTCCAAGTCCCATTTCTCGTCGACTATAATTATTAGGTCTCTCCCCGTCTATACTTCACTTTGTCTGTCGGCCTCGTCTTTACCTCTCGTCTCCTTTCCTGTCATTATGAATGCGCATAAATATCTGTACGTCGATCTACCTCTGTGTCGTCTGGCCTCGTCCAACTTAGTAGACTGTCACTTTCGGTGCTACCTGAATCGTTGCTCCGAAACCTGTCCACTTCCAGTCCTGCTTCCGGTCGTGGATGCCTCTTTAAATCTCCATCGTCAGTACTTTTGCAGTCGCATTAATCGATACTACCTCTCGTGCTCTCCGATTTACGTCAGCTTTGATGACCAGATCTGTCGACTTTATCTATTATCGTCGTCCTCATCTCACTTGCGTCCACTTCCAGCGAAATCTCGTCTGCCTCAGATTTCTACCTCTAAATCTCCCCGATGAAATGCTCGTCTGCCTCTCAGTCTGTCCTTTTTATTTCGGTCTACCTTCTGAGTCTCCCTCGTCTCTACTTCCACCGGTCTGTCTCGTCGTCTACCTCTTTGTCGTCCGCCGGTCCACTACTCCATTGTTATGTCCTCGTCTCGCGTCACTTCGGTCTGTCGATGGTGCATATCAGTCTCTCCTGTTCACTTCCAGTCTGTCCTCGTTTACCCTGTAATATATACACGTCGCATTTCAGTCTTGTCGTCTCGTCTACCTCTCAATGCTCTTCCCGTCACTTTATTTTATTTATGTCTGACCTCGTCTACCCCTCATCTCTCCCCGGCCACTTCCAGGTCTATAAGTCTGACTCGTTCTAACCTCTTTGTCTAAATTCACTTCGGTCTGCTTATCGTTTGCACTTATCGCATATAGATGTAAAAGCTGCGGTCACCTCTCGTCTGCTCCAGTCCCCGTCCCCTTCCAGAGCTGTCCTCGTCTGCTTCTCGTCACTCCCCCGTCCACTCCTCCCTATTCTTCCCTCTTCCGTCGCTTCCCCCATGCCCCTCCATCATCATCCTCTCATATCCTACCCCAGTCCACCTTCCAGTCTTCCCTGTCGACTTCCGGCATTATTCCTCGTCCTACCTCTCAGTCTCTCACCGTCCCCTTCAGTCTGTTCCTCGTCTACCCTCATCTCCCCCGTCCGCTTCCAGTCTGTCCTCGTCCTACCTCTCAATCTCCCCGTCCACTTCCAGTCTGTCTCGTCTGCATAGTCTCGTCCACTCCTCCTACTTAAATCAATGAACGTCTTTGCCATCTGGCCCACATCATTAAGATGTTGACCAAGCTTAAAGTGTGAAAAAGTGATTCAAGTTTAATCCTTCTGCGAGCTAGCTGGAATAGTCCCATGCATCATTCATTTACCAAACTACACTCAAGAATGATGGGAATAATGGCTCCCTTACGTGACATGATGTTGTGTTCGTGACCTTATTTAATAAAAAAATACTAGTTTATGTCCAAGCTAATTTAAATACTGCATTTAGCCGTAATAGCTAAGAGATAAAAGGCTTGCGGCCGGATTGGGGCCGAGCCTGGTCGTGTGTCGCTCTTGGAAGCACAGAGTAAATAACTAATTGGCGCTGCAGACAGGGATAAGCTGGACGGCAACAAACAAAATACGATACTTTAATCGGAGCCATCTAGGTGACCAGTGGAGACGTCCTGCTCTCCATGTGCACCAGCCGATGACCAACGTTGTTTGCG